AGATAGATAGATAGATAGAAAGATAGAGGAATAGATAGATAGATAGACAGATAGATAGATAGATAAATAAATAAATAGATAGATAGATAGATAGTTAGATAGATAGATAGATAAAGAATAATAATTTATCAATAATCTCAATCTTTACTTACCCCGACACAGAGGGCCATTGTTGAACGGCTATTTATTTAACAATAAATCAAGACAGTCATGAATATTTATGAGCTGCCTGCTGTCAATAGGAACTCGTCAGGTCTTGCAATCACTGGGTATAAAAATATCAAAATTTTCAACACATATGTCAGCACGCGGTGGAATCAGGTGCTTTTCAGTTTGGGGGCATATTGAGTTATTTGTATAATCTTAAATCTTGTTCATTTCCTCGAGTTTGATAATAAAAAAAATATCCTTTCATCTTGAATTGAATTCAAAGTATTTGTGTCTGAAGATGGCGGGAGTTGCATTGAGTCAGAGATAAAATCAGTGGGGAAAATAGCCCGCAAGATTTGGTGAAACCTAAAGCTGTAGTGCTCCTGGAAACGGCTAATTTACTTCTTTGTGCCTTTGATCTATGGTTGTTGGTTTTTTTTTAGCAAGATTGGGGTATGAATGTGTTTATTTTAATTGATCATATCAAGTCTTGAACTGCAAATAAAAAAATAAATAAATAAGGTAAAGATTTCCCAACGGACCAGAAAATTATATCGGTTTCTCTGAGCGCCTGATTTCATCTCCATGCCGCACAAAAGTGTGTCACGACCTTGTAAAATAAGGGCTCTCGTCTTTTTGGGAGCGCATGGAGTTATTGGTAGCACCCCGAAGCTTGTTTATTTGTCTATCTTTCGACGAAAACAATATCAATTTATCTTGAATGGAAGTCGAGATATTTGTGATTGAAGGAGGTAGGGATCGCCTGGTTTCAGAGGTAAAAATAGCGAAAAACTGGATGCCGAAGTTGTGCGTGTGACTTTTATAATACATTGATTTTCCTTAGAAACTTAACGTTTTACCTTTAAATGCCGTTAATCAACGTTATTTTAGTACAATCCACATAGCTATGTGTTTTCAATCAAAAGTATTGAGCCAAAAAACAAAAATTCTTTACAAATTGCCAAACCGGCTGAAAAATGCTGACATATTTGAGTTCATTATTTTGACGAGCTCCTGATTTCACCACCTTGCCACCAAAAAAAAGCATTGTGATGCGATGACAAAATGCTCTTCGAACGTTGTCAGTTGAATCTGAATAATCATATTAACTTTTAAAAATATTTCTAGGATCATAAAATATTTTGGACGTTTTGCTTGGTTTCGACTTGAATGTCTTGTGTTAAAAGTTTAAAACAACAGGTACATTTTCAAACATATTATGAACATGAAGCACTTTGGGCATATTTTTTTTTTAACACAGAAAGTATACACTCAGTATCTATCAGCATTATCTGCCATATCTGCCTTGATTAATGGGTTTTTTTATAACAGAAAGGGTGTGGTTTGCTCCTTCATTCCAATCAAACATCTATCGCCCTTATCTCTCCTTTTTTGTGTTTGCTACTCTCTGTTACAGCATTTATATAATCCTATTGTCTTGCAAGTGCCGTAGAACTAGAAGAAAGGGCAGACCGTTTTAATTTATAATTTTTTTAAGATGACACATTTGATCAAGAGTACAAATGCATCAGGTCAAAACAAAATTAATGTGTCCATTTGGAGTTTTAAAAAGTGCTGTCCTTCTAACTTTTAACTTTCAGATTTGTGTCAGTTCATGCCCCACCACATATTGGTCGTATGTTGAGACTGTAGCCAAAGAGGTTGGGGCTGGAAATACAATTCTCAGTTCAGAGCGGAGCAAGATGATCTGCAAATACACTGTGGACCCCCAATCTTCCGCGGTAAGTATCCTGGGTCAAATACAGCAAACCAATCCTCACCCTCCCTCTCCGTCCAAATCATCATTTGATCAAGGTTTTGTCTTTACATTTGTTTAACGTCCTTTTCATCATTGTAATGTTATATAAGAGGTGGCACCTCCGAATTAAATGCCCATCTCAGACAGGACCATGCCAAATGGGTAGAAAATATGTTGAAGTCTTCAAAACAACCCAAGATCAGACCACCCCATCAACCAGAATCATCCCCTCCGTAGTTCAGCATGTTACCAACTGGGCTAATGCAGCACCCACTTGTTCATGTGCACTTCGTTTTAGAAAAAAAAAAACAATGGGGGAAAACTGAACTGATCAGGAGGACTGACAATAGGAAGGAGTGGGATACCAAGACTGTCAATGTCTTTTTGTTTTACGTAAGTGCCATAGTTTAGAGATGTTACAAGAGTGTAACGTGTGTGTTATAGCAGTAAATTGCGTTGCCATCGCACGCAGAAGACCTGAGTGAAATTCTCGTGTGGGGGAACTTGTTATCAAATATCTGTGTTTTTTTGCTGGGATGCTGTATCTCTCCAAGACAGGGTTGGTCGTCGTAGACTACCTTGGAAATTATCTAAAATTTGACATTGGGGATGTAATACACCGACATTTAAAACAACGATAACATGAACAAAAAGAATCAAGCAAATGAATAAACCAAAAGAAAGAAAGAAAGAAAGAAAGAAAGAAAGAAAGAACTAAGGTAGACAAAAATGTAAAGCCAGAGAAAAAATAAGTCTCTCCAGTTGTTTCCCCTTCATTCAGTATACATGTACTTTCATTG